GTCCTGCCGGCCAGTCCCGGGCCGAGGCCGCCTCGCCCTGGGGACTCCGTGGCCGCCCAGGCGGAAGGGAAGTAGGCGCCGGAGAACCCGCTCCGCATTTTGATTCATCTCGGGCTCTGTGAGGGTCACATCTTGTGAAAATACCTGTAAAATCAATTCAACGTTCAGTGCAGCGTGTAAAGACAGCTCCGAGAATTTAGAAGACGCCTGAGTCAGAACATTTACATGCTTGGGGCCCAGTGGCAGCGTTTTAACACGTCGGAGTGCAGCGGGCGGGGCTCGAGCTTGACGGCCGCGCGGTCCACGCCCCCTCACCTTTAAAAAGGGTGAAGAAGCGCCCTCTGCCCCACCCCCACCCCACCCCCGGGGGGCAGTTCCCCCGCGGAGGCCGTGACTGCGGACTTTTCTGAAATTTAGGGTGGTCCTCATCTTTGTGAGTGAACTTTGTCTGCATAGCTTTTATTTGCGGGCCTCGGTCAGCTGAGCTTACCACCTCAGTAGTAGATTGTGCCATTAATTCTTACGGTCTCTCCGAGGCAGGAATTGTTATCTCAGTTTTGCAGGTGGGAAGACATTTGGCACAAAGAAAACCATCTCCCTTACATTCACACAGAACAATGGCTGAGCAGATGAAGTCCCAGCACCCCGACTCCTCCGCTGCGTCCCCCTCTAGACCGTGTCACAAAACAAATGAGTAGTTACTTTGATGTTACTTCTCATCAGACGAGGGAGTAAACCCAATGTTCTGTGAACCTGGAATGTTACATCATCATAACCTTCTGTGTCTGTTCTGCTTTGGGAGGCGCCGCTGTCCTTTGGAGTTTGATACCTTAGAGGAGGGGTTGAAGCAGCAAAATGGAAAATAATGTCAAGGGACAATGTTTGTCTCCAGAGGCCAAACTGTGCCCATCACTGCCCATTTGTACTGATGTCGTTCTTTCCAGTGTTCTCTATGCTCTGGCCTCAGCTGCGTTAACTACACCGTTGCATTACTCTTTTGGCACTGACCTCCCTGTCTGTCTTCTCCTTTTTAAAATTTTTTTTTTTAATTGATTTCAGGGAGAGGGGGAGAGAGAGATAGAAACATCAATAGTCAGAGAGAGTCCTAACCGGCTTGGCTCAGTGGATAGAGCATCAGCCTATGGACTCAAGGGTCCCAGGTTCGATTCCAGTCAAGGACATGTACCTTGGTTGTGGGCACATCCCCAGTAGGAGGTGTGCAGGAGGCAGCTGATCGATGTTTCTCTCTCATCGATGTTTCTAACTCTCTATCCCTCTCCCTTCCTCTCTGTAAAAAATCAATAAAATATATTTAATCAGAGAGAATCATTGATCAGCTGCCTCCTGCATGCTCCACACTGGGGACTGAGCCTGCAATCCAGGCACGTGCCCTGACCAGGAATGCAACCCTGACCTCCTGGTTCATAGATGATGCTCAACCACTGAGCCATACTGGCTGGGCCCTGTCTGTCTTCTTATGCTCTTTTCTCCAGGTGCTCTTTACTACTGCTGTTATGTCAAATCCAGTTGTTCAAGTGTGGAATGATTTGTTACTCCTGAAGGGTGTTTCTGGAATTAATAATAATTTTAAAAAAACAACAACAAAAAACTACCAACACATCTTAGATGAAAGGACAAGTTAAAGACGTGCAAGAAACTATTGTGGAATTTAATAGCTGAGTGATTCGAAGGGGGAAAAGTAGACTTTGATTTCTTTCTTTTTTTTTCCTTTTCCCCAGTTCACTCATAACTGAGAAGCAGCAGCTCAGTTTTAACTTAGAAATAGTTGTGGAGAGAGGGGACATCCTCCTGCTTAGACTAGTGAATGGGAAAGTTTTCTTTCTTAAGGAGGCTCCCTCTTAGCTTATAACAAGTGAAAACATTTATGTGTTTGGAATGCAAAATGTTTTGCTGATGATAAGTCTGTTTGTCTATAAAACTTGTATAAGAGCTTGGGACCTGGATGTGTGATATAGTCCCTCCTTGTTAAGAGGCATCCCTGAGGTCCCTCCCCAGCTTGTGGACAATAGAAATTTGAACCCAAGGTAGTTTTCTCTGGAGCAGCCAGCCAACTCATCTTTTTTTTTTCTTCTCTGGATGGATTCAAAAGATAAGACTATCAGATGGCATCTGGGGATTTCTGTTCACCTGGAGAAGGGATGGAAATACTCCAACAAGGTAAGAATAGCCATTTGCAAGAGTTTTGATAACTTATCCAGAGAGGTTTTATCCAGGTTCTTACTTTCTATAATAAAAAGGACTTATAATGCTCACCAGTATGGTTTCTCTCATAGAAGCTTACGTTTCTAAGGAAATTAGGATACATGACAATTCTTCAACACTTTCTTATTGGAAAACAGATTACACTGACTCCTGGTCAGTGTCTGCTTGTGCAGTAGACTAAAAACTCAAGATGCTCCCATGCTGTGTGAGCAACCATATCCAGAAGATAAGGGTGGCCAGTAAATTCCTTAAATGCTTCCTTTCTACCTATATCTTGAATTCTTTAATATTTGGTCTCCAAAATCTCAGATCCTTCCAATATCTTGAATTCTTTCCATATCTCAAGTCCTTTCTATATCTTGAATCCTTCAAAGAATTGAATCCTCTATATTTCACCATTTCCATATTGATCTTTCTGCCTTGGGGGGTAGGGGGAGAGATTTCTTATTCTCTAAAAGGACCTTGAGTATGATGGTGAAAGGACTTTGAGTATGATGGTCCAAAGAATGAAAATTTTAGTATTTGGTAAGTGGGAATAAAACAGAAACCTCCAGCAGAACACTTCAGAAAAGAAATGGAAAGAAAGTCCCTTGCCCTGGCCAGTTTGGTTCAGTGGGTAGAGTGTCGGCCTGTGGACTGAAGGGTCCCGGGTTCGATTCCAGTTAAGGGCACATGCCTGGGTTGTGGGCTCAATCCCCAGTAGGGGGCCTGCAGGAGGCAGCCGATCAATGATTCTCTCTCATCGTTGATTCTGTCTCCTCCCTTCCTCTCTGAACTCAATAAAAATATATTAAAAAAAAAAAGAAAGCCCCTTGAACTTATGGAATTATGACAGGTTCCCAGTTTCTTATACTTTTTCTCAGGCATGTGCTGTTCTGCATCCATAGGTTATTCAACCCTATTTACAATAGGGAGAATTTGGTTAGTTAAATTTTTTTAATTTACTCCTAAGAAAAGTATACTTTCAGTCGCTTATGTGACTAGAGATCATATCCAAAGTTGGGACTTTACATGCATTTTTCCCCCTTCCTCAAGAACTCTAAGTTATTCTGTGTGAATGAGCCATTTTGGGGACTGGGGTGATCCCTATTAAAGGGTCCCTTATTGATTTGTCTCATGCTTTTCAACTGTATTTCCATTTTCTAAGATCTTCCTTTTATTAGAGACTCATTCCCGAATTCTTGTTTATAAAATGTTTTCATTGATTTTAGAGAGAGAGGAAGGAAGAGGGAGAGAGAGATAGAAACATTGATTGGCTGCCTCCTGCACACCCCCTACAGGGGATCCAGCCTGTAATCTGGGTATGTACCCTGATCGGAATCAAACTGGTGACCTCTTGATGCATGGGACTACGCTCAGTCAGTTGAGCCACACCGGCCAGGGTATTTGTGGATTGTTTTGTTTTGTTATTCCTCACCTGAGGATATTTTTCCATTGATTTTTAGGGAGAGTGGAAGAGAGAGGGAGAGAGAGAAACATCGATGTGAGAGAAACATATCGATTGGTTGTCTTCTGCACTAGCCCGGACCAGGGCCTGGGTTGGGGAGGAGCCTGCAACCAAAGTACATGCCCTTGACTGGAATCTAACCCAGGACCCTTTGGGGCGCAGTCTGATGCTCTGTCCACTAAGACAAACCGGGTAGGGCTATTTGTGGATTTTAAAATCTTATTAGAATTAGGAAACTTTCCTACCAAAAACCTGGGTTGTTTGTTGTTGTTGTTGTTTTTAATATTAAGAGTTATGTTCAATTATATAAATTAAGAGTCCATACCTTCTTTGCTTTTTGTCCCAATGGGGGACATCCCATTAAAGTGTGCAGCAGACAGCTTCCTCCTTGTAACCTGAGTGAAGAGGACCTGTTACAGAATCCACACTTCAGCAAACTGCTGCTGAGTCTCTCACAACACGTGGACGAGAGTGGCTTAAGCCTCTCCCTGGCAAAGGAACAGGCTCAGGTAAGAGCCCTAATTGAAGGGATGTTAAGAGGAAGGAACAATATTATGAGAGAGAGGTTCCTACCTGGGATTCTTTAAATTTTCTAGGCATGGAAGGAAGTTCGACTGCATAAGACAACATGGCTGAGGTCTGAGATTTTACAAAGAGTCATCCAAGAGCTGCTTGTGGACTACTATGTGAAGATACAAGACACAAATGTAACTTCTGAGGACAAAAAGGTGAGGCAGGAGAGATGAAGTAGAGGTTGGTTACCATAGGAATGAGCAGGCCAACTATGGCTTCATCTGATTATATGATCTGGGGAAGTAGGAGCTTCATGTAATGGCTAGAGAAATGGACTGTAGTTATGAGGGGAAGAGGTGGGTGTTTTGTCAGGGTTTTGAAAAGAAAGATTAACAGGAGAAGGCACTGACAGCTGGGAAGTTATCTGAAGAGGATGACATATTTGAGGACTTTGAAATGTGTGAAGAACTGGTTCATGAGGATGGAGGAGGTGGAGTAAAGGAAGTTTTATAGTAACCTCTTGTTGTTTTTATTCTTCTCAGTTTCATGAGACCCTTGAACAGCAGCTACTTGTGACTCAACTAACACAGCTCTTAGGTCCTAGCCAGGAGAGGGTGATGCCTCCACTGCTAGGACTGGAGAAAGCAGACCTTCTGGAGCTCATGCCACCCTCAGAGGTTGGGAACGAGTAAATATTGGCTTAATTTCTCCTGTGTATTTGAACATTGTTTGGTTAAGCTTTATTGTTTTTATAAAAATGTACACGTTCATGGTGGTCAAACATAAATAAATAAGAAATATATTACATAGAAGAAAGTAAAAGCTGAAATACTACATCTAGAAATAAATAATACAACTTGACATAGTATTATACCCTCCATGCTTGTATAGAGAATATATTTTCACTTAACATATTTTGGACTTGTTTTCAAGTCAGTAAATAGATGATACTTCCTAAAGCACTCTTAGCACAGTGTCCAGGCACATAGTTAGTGCTCATTATTCTTATTATATCATTGGCTTAAGTAACTGACAGGATTCCATTGTATAGATGTAGCATAATTTGTTTTACCTTATTGATGGATATTAATTTAAAGTTGTTTCCACATTTTTGCTGTTAGAAACCACACTGATGAACATGCTAATTCATATGTGTCTTTGCCCTTATATGATTATTTCCCAAGGATTAGTGCTCAAAGTGGGATCATTGGGTCAAAGGATACACACATAGAACATATTGGTACATAGTGCCAAACTGTTTTCCAGAAAGGTGTTTCCAGTGCCCGTACCTCCCCACTCTTTTTCATCAGTATGGGATCTGTACAGTCATATTATTCTGTGCTAATTTGTTAGGCTAAAAATGAACCTCCCTGTTCAGGCATTTGCTATTATAAACAGTGCTCTGCATGTATAGCTATTTTTCAGTATTGGCCCTGTATTGTGTTTATCTTCTGATAGTTTTGGTGTTGTTGTTTTTTTTGTACATCTCTATTAAAAGCATTACATTTTTTTAAATGAATCTCCCTGTTGTCTTTTTTAAGTTTTTTTTTTTTTTTTTTTTTTTTAGGTAGAGGAAGGGAGAGAGAGAGAAACACTGATGTGAGAGGGAAACATCAATGGGCTGCCTCCTGCATGCCATACCCCCCATCAGGGATGGAGCCCTCAACCTGGGCATGTGCCCCAACCGGAATTGAATGGGCAACCTCCTGGTGTATAGGATGATGCCCAAGTTACTGAGCCACATAAGTTTTTTGTGGGTTTGTTGTTGTTTTTTAAACATATTTAGCGAGAGGAAGGGAGAGAGAGAGAGAAACATCGATTGGTTTCACCCCAACCAGAAATTGAAACCTCAGTCTCTGGGTATGGGCCCTGACTCTGAAATGGAACCTGTCACCTTTTGATATACTGGAGGACGCTCCAACCAACTGAGCCACACTGGCCAGGGTTCCCTGATGTCTCTTAATGCATTCTCTTTGGTTATCATTGAGATTGTTGTCATCATGTATTCATTGGCTGAATCTTCCTAGTTCTCACAGTCTATTTGTATCTCTGTGTTTCTGTGACTGTAGGATTTTGTGTGGATGAGAGCTCGGCTCCCACTGGAAGTGGAGGAGCAACTCAAGAAGAAATGTTTCACTCTGCTTTGCTACCATGATCCTAATTCCGGTGAGTGCTGGCTCTCTGTGTTCTGTTCATAGCCGGCCCTCAGGACTCCTGGGTTGCTCTTTTGAGAACAGTATGTTTGAATTTAGATTTGGGACAGAAGCTGGGAAGCATTGGAGACATTGGAGTTGTTTGTTTCCTTGCTGGTAGAATAAAAGCAAGGAATTTTGTGAGAACTCTTTTTTAAAAAATATATATTTTTATTGATTTCAAAGAGGAAGGGAGAGAGACATAGAAACATCGATGATGAGAGACTCCTTGATTGGCTGCCTCCTATACGCCCCCAGTGGGATCAAGGCTGCAAACCAGGGCATGTGCTCTGACTGGGAATCGAACCATGACCTCCTAGTTCCATGTTCAACTACTGAGCTATGCCAGCTGGACCTTTTATTCAGCAGAGGTCCTCTTGCTGCAGGGAAGAATGAGTTAGTTCTCAGGAGAATCAGCATAAAATAGGTAGGAAAGTTCAGGCTAGGTGTTCCCCTTGTCTTTATTTCTATGACTTAAGAATTAAGGGCAAAATCTGGAATTAAAGAGTGAAGACAATTATGAGAACTGGGCCATTTTTAACAGGACATCAGAAGAAAACCTGGATGAAGACAGAATTCCTAGGGCTAGATGTAGGACAGGGGCACTGAAAAATGGCCTTAAAAGGTCCGTAGCAATTAGGGTTTTACTGTCCAGTCCTCTGACTTTTTGCCCAGATTCAGACCATGAAACCCTGAAGGCAGCAAAGGTATGGAAACTGGCAGAGATCCTGGTGAGTGAGAAGCAGCAGTGCCAGGATGCCAAGAGCCAGCAGAAGGAGCAGGTGGTGCTGCTGGAGAAGAAGAGTGCCACCTACTCCCAGGTTTGCTGGAGCAGTGGGGTAGCCTCCTCTCTCTTACCCAGACCCCAGGGGCACTTTTGGGGAAGCCAAGGATTTCTGACCTGCCTTCTTTCCTGCTCTCTTCCTCCCGCCTCCTGGGGGCTCAGGTGCTGCTCCGCTGCCTCGCCTTACTGCACAGATTGCTTCAGGAGCACCGGCTGAGGACTCAGTCTGAGCTAGACCGCATCAACGCCCAGTACCTGGAGTTCAAGTGTAGTGCCATGATCCTTAAGCTGAGGTGAGCTATGACCCCTATGGAGCTAAGGGATACACCACCCCCTATAGCCCCTGTTAGCCTTCAGATTACCCCAAAGCTTTCAACATTCTTGATTCTTTTATTTGAAAGCTTTCTGAGATAGGTGCTTGACTGTGAAATATTGCTCAGGAATTCAGAGTGACCTTGTTTATCCTGTCACTGCTCAGCCCACACCTTTGACCCTGGCAGGTTCTATGTCCCATTCCTAACTCTGCTGCTGTCAGAGATCCTCAGCTTCACATTTCTTTCTTTCCTCTGTCAGGATGGAAGAGCTAAAGATTTTGTCGGACACTTACACTGCTGAGAAAGTAGAAGTTCATCGTCTCATTAGGTGAGAACTCCTAAGAGCTTGGTGCAGCTATTCAGAGCTCGTTCCCATACTCTCTAAACTCATTCATTTTAACATGTCCTCATTCTTGTCTACTTTCCGAGGAGCCAGATTCTTATATTGTATCTTCTGTGCCCGGACTCTTAGGGACCGTTTGGAAGGGGCCATTCGGCTACAAGAACAGGACATGGAGAAGTCCCGACAGGTCCTGAACACCTATGAGGTCCTTGGGGAGGAGTTTGACAAGCTGGTAAAAGAGTACACCCAACTCAAGCAGACAACTGAGAACAGGCGTTGGGCACTCCAGGAGTTCAACAAAGCCTACCGCTGAATGTCGGCAGGCCAGGAGGCACGGCTTGTGCACTGGCACTGCTTCCTCTTCCTGCTAAAAGGACCACCTCCAGCTGGGACCATCTTCACTCAAGGGAGTGTGGGGACACTTGCTCGAAACACTGCAGTCATTTAGGCACCCTCCTTGTTTACAACGACTGAATCTCTTCTGGACAATGTGGCTGATTTATGTAAATTTATGTACAGCTATCTCCTGAATAAAGTGATAATTTGAGTCTTAGGATTTTAATCATTTTCCTTTGGGGAAAGATGGAAAAAGAGTATCAAAGGCTGCGTGGGTGGAGGGGCAACTGAGTAGATACAAATAGAGACAGATCTCCAATGCTTACACAAAGGGGGAAGGTAGAAGTGCCAGCCTGCCCCCATGGAGTCTTTGAGGCTTCATTCTGAGAGCAAGAATGGATTAAAACTGGTTTGCTCTTGAAGAACTAGGTAATCCCCAGAGGAATGCTAGCTGTTAAGGCAGGTAGGGACCTATTCTGTCACTGTGGCTCTCAGTGGGGTGTTTTGATACAGCAACCAGGCATCCAGTTTTTGTTTTTAATATATTTTATTTATTTTTCACAGAGAGGAAGGTTTGTCTGAGTCTTTTCATTCTTCACACTGACTGGAGATGGACGTTTTGTTTTTTTAAAAAAATATATTTTTATTGATTTTTTCCAGAGAGGAATGGAGAGGTATAGAGAGTTAGAAACATCAATGAGAGAGAAACATTGATCAGCTGCCTGCTGCATACCCCCTACTGAGGATGTGCCCGCAACCAAGGTACATGCCCTTGACCAGAATCGAACCTGGGACCCTTCAGTCCATAGGCCGACGCTCTATCCACTGAGCCAAACAGGGTAGGGCAGGCATCCAGTTCTTGTTAGAGGAAAGGACATAAGCCACTTGTTCTCCTGGTTCCCTGTGGTGTGGTTTGAGGGTTACTTCTTTTTCCAAAAGCAGAGAGTGGGAAGAGATCACTCTGGGGAACCAAGTTCCATGGTCTGCTTAGCTTAGAACAAGGCAGGGCCCTGGCTGCTGTCAAAGTCCGGGACTGAGAGCAGAAGCAAAAGACCATTCTTATTTAGAAGAGCTTACCCAGCTTCTCAAACCAATTTTCAGGGAGACTGTCATGAGGCATTCTTCTGCTAAGATCAAATAATGGTAATCTTGGATTGATTTATAAGAAAAATTAAGGTATTGACTCAACTTTAAATATTTTTAAAATATATTTTTCGTGATTTCAGAGAAAAAGGAAGAAAGAGAGAGAGAGAGACAGAGAGAGAGAGAGAGAGAGAGAGAGAGAGAGAGAGAGAGAGAGAGAAAGAAAGAAACATCAGTAATGAAAGAATCAGAGATTGGCTACCTTCTGCATGCCTGCACCGGGAGCGAGCCCACAACCTAGGCCTGTGCCCTGATCAAACCATGATCTCCTGGTTCATGGGACAACACTCCACCACTGAGTCACACTGGCTGGGCTACATATTTCTTTAAATGGTGTTTACCACCATTTATCCATAAGCAAATGGTGATAGATATTTGTTCACACATGAACAAATAGCAAATAGATCAATGGAAAAAACTCAAGACACAGTCAATATTGCTTAGTTCTATAGTCCCCGCCCCCCAACTCTTTTGGGGAAAGTTTCAAAATTCACAGAAAAATTGAAAGAATAGTGCCATAAGCACCAGTACGCCCTTAACCTAGATTCAACAATTGCAACCATTTTGCTTTTCTTTTTTTCTCCTCCACTTCTAGATAGATAGATAAAGATATAGAGATATTCCTCCCAACCATTTTATACTTAGTTACAGATATAACATTTCATTCCCTAAATACTTACACAGGCAACTCCTAAAAATAAGGGCACTCCCCTAAGTAACTAATTAAAATTATTATATCTATTATTGAGGTCATATTTAAGTTTCCCCAAACTTTTTATCCTTTGGATATTAAGTTTCTTTAATTTCTTTTAAAGTAGAACATTCCTCCCATTTTATTTATTTACTTATTTTGTTTTAAACTTGAAATTATATGATAAAGAAGGGAAGCTAGTTTATTTTTATTTATTTTTTGTTCTCACCTGAGGATATTTTCTTTTCCATTGATTTTTAGAGAGAGTGGAAGAGAGGGGAGAGACAGAGAAAGAGAAACATTGATCGGTTACCTCCCGCCCCGTGCCCCAACCCGTTGGGGCTGGGGATTGAGCCTGTAGCTGAGATACTATGTGCTCTTGACCGGAATCGAACCAATGACCCTTCAGTCCACCAGGTGACTCTCTAACCACTGAACAAACCAGCTAGGCCCTAGAGCTATTTATTTATTTTGATACTATTACAGATGTCCTCCGTTTCTCCCCCCTGTACCCACCTCCACCCAGCTCCCACCCAGCCTCCCTCTGACCCTCACCACACTATTGCTGTGTCCATGGGCTATGCACATATGTTCTTTGGCTAATCTTTTCACCTTCTTTCATCCAGTTTCCCCCACTCCCCTCCCCTCTGACCTCTGATCAGTTTGTTCCATATATCCATGCCTCTGGTTCTATTTTGTTTGTCAGTTTATTTTGTTTATTATATTCTAAATATAAATGAGATCATATGGTATTTGTCTTTCTCTGTCTGGCTTATTTGCTTAGCATAATAATCTCCAGGTCCATCCATGCTGTCACATAAATTAAGGGTTCCTTCCATTGTGTAAATATACCACTTCAAAATAATAATAAAATTGACTTTCTGAAATCTCAAGGTGTGTTACCTTGTAGAATGTCCCATTGTGTAATTATTTCCTGTGGTGGTTAACTTGTTCCTCTTCTGTCCAATATAGTAGCCACTAGCCACATATGGCTATTTAAATTCAAATTGAAGTTTATTAAAATAAAATAAAATTAAACTTTTGCTAGGCTGATGGTTACTGTATTAGTAAATTCAAGTTGAAGTTTATTAAAATAAAATTAAATTAAACTTTTGCTAGGCTGATGGTTACTGTATTAGATAATGCAGATATATAATATTTATATTACTGCCAAAAGTTCTGTTAAACAGTATTGCTATAAGCCTACATTTCCTGCAAAGTGGAAATAAATCTACAGGTTGTATTAGATTCAGGGCAAACATTTTTTTTGCAAAGAATACTTAATGGATGACATTATATACTTCACATTACATCACCCTAGAGCCACAACAGGTCAAAATGTTTCACTATTAATTATGCTAAGTTTGATGGCTCAGTAAAGTGGTAACTGCCAGATCTCCCTAATATATGAAAATACATTTTCCCTTTGTAGTTAGTAGCATCTGAAAAATTAACATCAAAAATCTCAAAATGTGGTCCTGGCTGGGTAGCTCAGTTGGTTAGAACGTTGTCCCAATATACCAAGGTTGTGGGTTCGATTTCTGGTCTGGGCACATACAAGAAACAACCAATGAATGTATAAATAAGTAAAACAACAAATTGATGTTTCTCTCTAAAAACAACAGCAACAAAACAACCTCAAAATAGTTCTTCCTGATATGTATTATGTTATTCATCATTTCCTCATTTAATTAGGGGTTCATCTGGAACCATACTAGGTTTTGGTATTTCAAATAATAAGGATCAGTATTTTAATTCTAGTTATGTCATGAGAAAAAAAAGAATTAATTACTGAGCTTATGAATGTGCTTTGGTAGAAAAACAAAAACTTTCACAACGGTTTCATGGTGAGGGGAAGGGACACAGGTGTGTGCAGTGCCACCTGAAGGGAGCAGCACTGCAGCAATTTGAGTCTTTTCATTCTTCACACTGACTGTAGATGGACGTTTTGTTTTTTAAAAAAAATATACTTTTATTGATTTTTTAAAGAGAGGAAGGGAGAGGTATAGAGAGTTAGAAACATCAATGAGAGAGAAACATTGATCAGCTGCCTGCTGCATACCCCCTACTGAGGATGTGCCCGCAACCAAGGTACATGCCCTTGACCGGAATTGAACCTGGGACCCTTCAGTCCACAGGCCGATGCTCTATCCACTGAGCCAAACCAGTTAGGGCTGGAGATGGATGTTTGCAGGAGGTGCCCCTTACATATGCTGCCGCCTATTGCAGAATAGATGAAGTGAAGACTTGGAGGGCAACAGTGGGACAGTAATTACTGAGGGCTGGCATCTGGACCTCAGTTGCCCTCTCTCTCCTCATCATACTTTTCAGAAAAGATTTACATTTACTGCCTTTCCTTCACTTTTTTCACAGTCACGTCTCTCTTCACTAGTCTTTACCACATCTGATCAAGAATCAAGTCTTGTTGATTCTTCCTCCATAATGAGAGGCGAAGTAAATCACCTCCAGAACTTGGAATGTGATCACTCTCTGAAAGGAAACTTGGGCTCCCAGAGGAACAAAATCTGTCCCCTCAAGGTTCTCAATGCAGGGTGAATATCCGTGACCTCCTGAGGAGTAACCCTGCATTCTTCCTTGGCCACCACAAATAAGAAACCAACCATCCTCTAGAGCAGGGGACCTCAAACTTTTTAAACAGGGGGCCAGTTCACTGTCCCTCAGACCGTTGGAGGGCCGGACTATAGTTTTTAAAAAAAACTATGAACAAATTCCTATGCACACTGCACATATCTTATTTTGAAGTAAAAAAACAAAATGGGAACAAATACAATATTTGTATTTGCATGTGGCCCGCGGGCCGTAGTTTGAGGACCCCTGCTCTAGAGACCAGCCTAATGCTCCCCAAAGGATGGGACTCTCTGTGGCTCTGCCTCCCTGTGGGATCCCTCACCCCATGAAGAGTCTTCACATTACTTCACCTTGAAGGACCTGAGCTAGGTTTTGTTAAAGGAACTAGCAGGACTACCTCTACCTTGAGACAATGAAAATATAGGAGTCAACTCATGATGGATGACATAACAATCTACAGAAATAATTTAACCTAAAAGATGCTTTATATTCAAGTGGCCAAAGTGGCTAAGTAAGTCCTGGTCTCAGAAAAGTATATCTGAAATTTAGAGAGACTTACATGTACTAAGCCTGGCTGAAAAAAAGAACATGTAACTAAAAGTAAATGACTAGCCCTAGCTGGTTTGGCTCAGTTAGCCACTAGCATGTCGGCCTGTGGACTGAAGGGTCCTGGGTTCCACGCTGGGCAAAGGCACATGCCCAGGGTTGCAGGATCAATCCCAGTAAGGGGTGTGCAGGAGGCAGCCAATCAATGATTCTCTCTCATCATTTATATATATATATATATTTCT